CCTAAGATACATTTTCCTTCTCTTTTAGCTTCAGACAAGCTTGACTGAACCAATGACGTTATCGAAATCCATCTCTCTTCCGCGTAGTGCATACTGGCATCACATTACCCGTCAGAACAGCGTTGGAGAAATCTACAGCTTGCAAGGCAAGTAGCTTTACAATGAGGAAGCCACACTGATTGCCAACCACTTCCTTCCTTGAAGGAGTCATGCAGATTGCTGTGTATTTGCATTGATTGCTTTTCCTTTGTTTCCACTTTTCAACTGTCTGAGGGGCACAGTTGGAACTCTGAGATTCACCATTACTCTTTTAAAGCTATCATTTTATACATACATGCTATAAAATGATTCTAAAATCATCGTGATGGATAAGGACCAAATTTGGCAGAAGATGTTGACTAAAACAAAGCACATGGTGGAAAACTGAAAGTTGAATTCTGAGGTCCATGTTGTGCTGTTTTACAAAGTACTTCTTTTCCTAGGAATTAGCATCTGGTCAGGAGCTGTTTTCAGGCTTGGTACTAAAAGGCTTCACAGACTAACACACTGAAGCTTTCAGATGTAGCCCACTTCTTATCAGAGAGTCACTGGGGTGGGGCAACATAAAAGGGGTAGAGTGTAAACAGGATGTCTCTGTGGTTTTCCCAGTGACCAGCTAACCGACACGGGAATGGTTTGCTGAATGAAGGGACATGGAAAGTATCAGACAACTGATGTACAGCCACAGAAACCCTGCAGTTGCCTTTTCTATCTTTTCTCTCTTTGTTTTTCCAACTTTTTAAATTTGAATTAGAAACAGGATTGTTTTACATGACAATCCCAGTTCCCTTCTCCCACCCGTCCTCCCCAACCCCCCCCCAACTAAAACCTTATCTGTCACATATCCGTTCTGCGCCCCCTGGATGGTGAGGCCTTCCATAGGGTGTCATCAGAGTCTTTCATATCCTTTGGGATAAGGCCTAGGCCCACCCCAGTGTGTCTTAGATAAGGGAGTATTCCTCTATATGGAATGGGCTCCCAAAGTCCAAACCTATGCTAGGAATAAATACTGGGCTTCTACAGGAGGTCCCATAGGTTTCTGAGGTCTCCTCACAGAAACCCATGCTCCTGGAGTATGGATCAGTCCTATTCTGGTATTCCAGCTATCAGACTGGGGAGCAAGAGTTCCTGGATGTTCAGGTCAGCTGTTTCTGTGGGTTTCACCAGCTTGGTCTGGACCTCTGTGCTCTTCACTGGTCCTTCTCTGCATCTTGGTTCCAGTTCAGTTCGGTGATTAGTTGTAGATATCTTGTTCTACTTCCACTAGCTGCTGGATGAATGCTATAGGATGGCATATAAGTCAGTCATCAATCTCATAATCAGGGGAAGGCATTTAAGGTAGCCTCTCCTTCATTGCTGAGATAATTAGCTGGTGTCATCTTTGTAGATCTCCAGACATTTACCTAGTGCCTGATTTCTCTGTAAACCAAAGATGTCTCCCTCTATTAAAATATCTCCATTCTGGTTATTGTGTATTCATCCCCTGATTCATAGTTTCTGCTCCCTCATGTCCTCAGCATCCCTCTTCTTCTGTCCTTCTCATTCTCCTAGCTCCCTCCCCCCTCTTCCCGTGCTCCCAATTTGCTCAGCAGATCTTGAACCTCTCCCCTTCTCCAGGGGACCATGTATGTCTCTCTTAGGGACCTCCTTATTTATTAGCTTTTTGGCAGTGTGGATTGTAAGCTGGTAATCCTTACTCTATCTCTAAAATCCACATATGAGTGAGTACAGACCATGTTTGACTTTTTTGCGATTGGATTACCTCGCTCAGAATGTTTTTTTCTAGATCCATCCATTTTCCTGCAAATTTCAAGATTCCATTGTTTTTTCCGTTGAGTAGTACTCCATTGTGTAAATGTACCACATTTTCTCTATCCATTCTGCAGTTGAGGGACATCTAGGCTGCTTCCAGTTTCTGGATATTACAAATAGTGCTGCTATGAACATCATTGAACATATGTCCTTGTTGTATGGATGTGCTTCTTTTGGGTATATGTGTAAGAGTGGAATTGCTGGATCTTGTGATAGACTCATTCCCATTTTTTTGAAGAGTCACCGTACTGATTTCCAAAGTGGCTGTACAAGTTGGCACTCCCACCAGCAGTGGAGAAGTGTTCCCCTTTCTCCACATCCTCTCCAATGTGAACTGTCATTTGTGTTTTTGATTTGGCCATTCTGAGAGGAGTAAGATGGTATCTCAGAGTTGTTTTGATTTGCATTTCCCTGATGACTAAGGATGTTGAACACTTT